TTCAAAACCGTACAATGGCAAATAAAAAGGATGACATAGCAATCTGACATGGAGACATTGAAATGGAGATAGGGCCGACAAGTGTTGATTATGTGGAATAAATCAAAGAATAGAATGAGGATCTAGAGAGGAGAGGATTGTGGAAAAGGGTAATGTGTTGGAGATAGACAAGAACTTAGCTAGTGCCATTGAGGTGGACGAACAAAGGGGAAAAGTTGGGGACATGGTTACTGAGGAAAACACTCAAGTTGATATAGAGGTTATAATGGAGTCCACACCTATGAAGGAGGCTATGGATACTGCTAAAGCTATTATAGAGAGGAATTGATGGTTCAAAAATCAAGAAGGAAAAGAAGGGAGAACCAAGAGTCAAAAAATCTTGAACTTAACAATGTAATACATAAAGAGCATCATTCATAATCTAATGGAGAGCGGGCTAATACACTTCCTAGGACTAATAAGAGGGCTATGCACTCTCATTTTGATTAATCTACTGTCCTGGAATATCAAGGGAATGGTAGATCATTCCTCCCTTGATAGATTGAAGCATTTTGTAGATTCATAAATTTTGATTTTTTGCTATTTTGGAACCATTGGAATCTAAAAATAAAAAATAGATTGTGAGGAAGTTCATACATTTCAATTTTATATTAAATATCAATAATAAGATATGATTATTTTGGATGAAAGAGATAAAAATTCAATTTGTGCTTGATGATCCATAATTTCTCCATGTTCAATTTAACATGGAGGTGTTTAAAGATTGGACCACAATAGTGTAAGCTAGCTGCAATCATACATTAAGGATGGATCTTTGGAACAAAATTTTAGGATCTACAATGAATGAAAATTGGCTGGTGGGGGAGAGTTTAATATGATAACATGCAATGAGGAAATGCAAGGACGCAGGATGGTGGATCCTTACCTAATAACTAGATTCAAGGACACTATCAATGATGCAAAGTTGTTTAACATTGGTTCTGCAGCTCTTATATTTACTTGGAAATGTGGAAGAGTATTTGAAAGGCTTGACCATATTTTAACAAGTCAACATTTACTCAACAATTTTCTAACTTCAATTGTTGCAACTTATCCGGCTTAGGCTCTGACCACAAGCCTTCGTTATTAAGCATTTCCTTCAATCTTAACCTAATTACTCCCCTTTTTGATCTTTAAACAGGTGGACTAATCATCAGGATTTTATGGAATGTATTAAAAAGAATTCATTTTATGGAAACTCCATAAGAATATAACAAAAGCTCTTTGACTTTGGAACAAGAAAGTTTTTGGTGACCTAAATAACAAGATTTGACTAACTATTATCTGTATTTTGGAGCAAGAATCACTCTACTCAAAAGTGTCCAAAACACTTCATTGACATAACTTAAGTGGCAATAAGTTATGTTAAAATATTTTGTAAGTGAAACTAAGACTCGGAAGAGAAGTGATCTCGCAACATGAGTGCACTCACATTAATCGGTTAGCTGTGACAAAGTAGTTTAGGCAGCAATACAACTTTCAAGGAAATATAATTTAATGATCAATTTCTATTAAGAGCTTCTAGGTGACAAAAAGTTGCATAAAACTAATAGAATATTAGGCTTACCTATGCACTTGAATAAGAGTAGGTAGATATATGTTCCTTGTTGGCACATAATTAATTCATAAATCTATCAAATCTTCTACTCGTTATGTTATTATGTTTATTTTACTTTTCTTTTTCTGTGAAATGGAAGCAATGTTTATGAATTTAAATTTTCTAAGATCTTCTCTTGTTTCATTAATGTGACTGTTTTTTCACCGGCTCTTAATTTACTTTACAAATTGATCACTTGTAAGGTTAAAAGTTATTGCGAAACATAATGACCCAAGAGGGATATGATTGCAAACAACTAGTGAGCATCACACTTCACTTTAGAGAAAGGGGGTGCCTAATCCAAGGAGGAGTGCAAATAGATAGAGAGATAAGTTTTGATGGGCATAAAATTGGTGTTTCTTGGGTGACAGGCTAGATCTTTTACCAATTTGATCTAATGTTGGAACTAAGGGTCCCTGGTTAGTCTTATAGAGAGGGCACAGTAAGTAATCTAGAAGTGAGAGACTAGAATCTTCTCAGCATAACAACACAAGCTAGAACTAACTTTAATTAGCCAATGTTCTTTATGCTCAAAAGGGGTAAATAATAGGTGTGCTCCTATTTGTCACTAGTAACATTATATTTTAATCATTTCATTCCTACACATAATCTAGTTCATTGCACAAGAAAGTTTCCTTTATCATCTCAAAATTCATCAAACCAATTTATCTGGATAAGTTATCTTTAGATTTAAGATTTTCATTTAGGAATAGTAGAAAACCCACTTTAATTGACATTCCAAACTAAGACATGATAGTAGTAGACTATAATTAGCCTAAGAGATTTCTTACATCACTTCTCTGTGGGATTGATACTTGGGTCTTCAAACAAAACTATTTAGTACTTGAAACAATATGTATACTTGTATAGTACCCCTAGTGTGTAAACTATTAATAAAAAATTCTAAATTTTATAACATGTGGATTTTGCACTAGCCACTAAATGTAAATTGGGTCAAATTTTTTGCCATATTTTGAAAGTTAAATTAATACGTAATTGCAGGTCAGGTCATCCTCTTAAAAAAGTACTTGAATAAAACCTAATTTTGAAAAGTGTTAAAATGAAAGGATTGAATAAACCCTTTTTTAAGCATATAAACTTCAAAATAGAATAATATACCAAACACTGGAAGTTAGACCTAGGAGGAAAACTTAATGAAAAACATCTAACTAGAATAGAAACCTAACCAATAAAACTTGAACCAAGAAGTCCCTCACTTTTATAATGATAAATAAATTAGGAGCTAAAACAAATAATGAGTTAACTAAACACCAAAAATAACAATAAAATCCACCAACAGAAATCACATTACTCACCATTAGATAGATCACCTATGAACCCTAGCCAACTTAAAATTAAAATACAAGATCATACACTCGAATAGTACAATCTAGAAAGTGCTAAGGAATAGGTCTTATAAACAAACAAACTTTACCCTCTTTGACTATGTAGGTGCCCTAGTATGAAGTAAATCATGCTTAGTGACAAAGGCCCATCAAACAACTCAGTATTAAGAGAGTATGTAATTTTAATTACTATGGTAACAGTTGACACCTCTTACTTTCTAGTTGTTATATAGTTTAAGGATATTAATGCACCCAAGATAATGGAAAGCTATGAGAAATTTGACCACTTTTTAGGTCTTTAGTTAGCATTTATAATCGACCACTTTTTAATTCAATTCAATTGACTTAAATCAACCTTTTTAACTCAAGTTAACCCCTTTTCAATTCATCAAACTTTTCTGATCTAAAACAAACCCTTTCAATTCAAAACTAGCCCTTTAAAATTTTCAAAACAGCCCATTAAGAAACTATTAATTTTCTAGTGTCAAAACATTAAAACCACACCTTTTCAAAATTTTTAAAGTTGTAAAACCTTTTTCAAAACCATAAAATTTTAAACTCAAACCATTTCATACTTCAAAATCTTTTTCAAATTTTAAAATTTCAAACTTTCAACAGAACTTAAAATTCTTTAAATTTTTAAAAAAAACTTAAAACTTTTAAAACCCTCAAAACACAAAACCTATCACTAATAACGTAAGAGAACCTTTAATACTCAAAACTATAAAATATTTAAAACTTCAAAAGCTTAAAACATTTTTAAAACTTTAAAAATTTTAAAGCATAAAATTTTAATTTATCAAGGCATAAAACTTTAAAACAAAATATTTCAATTTAAAAAGTTAAATTATTAAAATAAAATTCAGCAAGACCTCAAAATTTAATCAAACTTAATATAATTTCAAATAAGCTTCAAATGACATCAAATAAAATTTAAAACAAAAAAAACCACAAATAAAATTTAACAAACAACCTTAACAACCTTCAACTAGACTTTATGACTTTAAAAAAACATTAACAAAACTTCATGAATAAACTTTAGAAAGCCTTAAACATATTTTAACAATCTTCAAAAAACATGTAAACTAGTATACTTTATTCAAAATTAACCTTCTTTGACTCAAATCAAATCCAACCATCTTAGATATTTGGCTCAAGTGAGTCAGTCAAAACTGAACTCTTATAATTGCAAATCAATCCAAATTAAACTGTTTTGAACCAAATCTAATTCATTAAATCCAAAAATCATCCCTTGTTCAACAAGTTCACATTTTCATTTTCTAGGGCATGCCTTCTTCCCATAGTTGACTAATCCTCTTCCTAGGCCTTTCTACAACACAATATTATTGAGCTATAAGTTTCATCCTTTTAATTACAATCAAACCCTTTAAAACCCATCCATTGATTTAAACTT